CATAGAGTGAATGTGTAGTCACGGCTTTCGTCTCTGGATTCCGATGCATAAAGGTAGAGCTTTTTTAGCAGGTGAGGCCAGGGCACTGTAGTAACTCAGTAGCTACAAAGCATGTGACAGGTAGCAGATGATTTCTTTTTTCTTATTTCACTGTCATTATCGCCCATAAAATGTCTGTCGCCTGCTCATTTCTTCTTCTTCTTCTTGGCTTTGATGAACGGCTACTGTCAGAGTGAATCAGTGTCACGCGTCTTTTGTCTGTAGTCTCTACCATGTTGTCAGTTTTCATGTATGTGTGATGTAGTCAGTAATAACTAAAAGGCTGGGCTTTGGTTTGCTGGACTGCAGCACTTTTAGCTGTCAGAGAGGAATGCTGACATGTCAGTGAAACTGCTTTTCCCACATTTCTGTCTTTGTCTTCCTGCAGGTCGACTTGAAAATAAAACACGCATTCTGTAGCTTTCGCTTAGTTAGCTTCTTAGTTTAACATGGTAGTCTACTCTACTATACTGCGTAAAAGAAGAAGTCCCATCCAGCCTCCAGCATAGCTACTGCCACTGCACTGAGCTGACCACAATTACGTGTGATTTTGTTAGGGCCATTGCTCCCTGCTCTGAGGACTCAGTGAAGCGCACTTAGGCAGTGCAATCGACTCCCATTCCCCAATTCACAGACTTACTTTTGTTTTAAAGTAAGACAAAAGTAAGTAAAATAAAACACGCATTCTGTAGCTTTTGCTTAGTTAGCTTTTTAGTTTAACATGGTAGTCTACTGTACTGCGTAAAAGTCTTCAATTTTATATTTTGCTAGGAAAATGGGGAAACGTGTAGAAGTTTATTGAAATGTGCAAACATGCAAGCTTTCTTTGTAAATTGTTAAAGTCGTCTTCATGAATAGTTCTCCGGGCGTCTCCAATCTCTTCGAATTTTTGTTGTTTTTTGTTCTGTTCTTTGTCAAGCTGCAATAATCTTGAGATCCGGTTTTTGGGGAGGCCGGTCCATGACTGATTGTGTTGCATTGTGTGTTTTGCTATCCCGTATGGTTTTACTTGCATTGTCAGTGTGTTTGGGATCATTATCACTCGAAAAATGAAGCCTTTGCCTTTCTTACACGTTCCAAATGGTGTCGCATAACTTGATCATTCCACCAATTTCGACAAAATCCACGACACCACTGGCCGAAATGCTGCAGACACATCTCTCCTGACCTCCTCTGTCCATTGCTGCTTACCTGGACCCGTTGTCTTTGGCAACTAAAGAAATACGTCTTTGCTAAGTTATCTGCTATGCGTAGGAACAACACCGCTGCATCCCTCGAGCTGGGTTCTTTTATAACAATTTAATGATTCAGAGATTCGTGTTAAGTTGCTTAACAACTAAACAAAACAAAAAGTTTCTCTGAAAATGCTCAGAAAATCAGAGAAATACCAAAGAAAAACTTTGAAGGACCTTCGGAAAGAATGAAGAACTACTGCTCAATGTAACTTCTAAAAATTAAAAGAAAGTCCGGCTTCTTGGAAGCAAAATATAAACAAATCAGAGCTGAATCTTTATTGTCATTACAGCAATGAAATTGAGGTGCAATTTTCTCAGTGCAAAAGAAGAATAAAAAATAAAATAAAGAATATATATATTTATACGTCTATAACAACAAACACAGTTGTTTCTGTATTGCACCACTTGCCAGAGTTGATGTAAATGCCAACGTTATAAAGAGAGAAGTGGTGGCTCAAGATTTTTGCACATGACTATAGGAACAAATTCTTTTTTCTGTGGATTTGTGGTTTCTGTTCATCTCATGAAAAAATTACAAAAAGTCGATTTTATGGATTTGAATTATTAGTCAGATTGTTAAAAACACTGTTTAATGGTGTTGTAGACCAAATAATGAATCTATTAATTATTACAAAACCAACAAATTATTAAAGAAAGTAGCTGCAGTTCTAATTCTCAGTGTACAGTTTGAGTCATTTAGTTGAAGTTGCTATTTTTCTCTGAGCTAAGCTGTCTAAACCCAGTCACTTGCTCATGTGACTTTCTCCTCATTCGGTTTTAGACAACCCCCAAACATGTCTGTGTACGAGCTCTATAAAGGGCATCAGTAACGCTTTTATCTTCTCAGTCACAGCAAGTGCTTTTTTTCTTTGTCTGTCTGTCTTATTGACCACCCTGCATCTTTCACAGGTGGACAAGATGTCCTGTGGTATCTCCTATTGCTAAGGTCACAGCTGTCATCGCCTCTTTGCTTTCAATTATGATGATGTCCAGGTCTTGGCAGCTCCACCCAGTATCATATGAACTTTGAGTGAACTGAAGGCTAAACATTACTTTTCAGAGTTTAACCTTTTGTTTTTTTTGTTTTTTTTTATCGGGGTATGTTGGACATTAGCGTTAATGTCTGTTTTTTGCATTTCTCTGTCAGTCAGCCTCTCAGTGATCTAATGACCTAATAAGCACAGCACAGCTGGGAGTAGCAATCACTCCGTGCTTTCCATGAAAGATGTTTAGCTTTGCGCAAACATTTTTTCAGGAGGTATAAACCATCACTGACATGCTACAATAAGGGTTCCAGGACATACAATGCACCTTTTTGTCTTTTGTTTCCCCAGCACTGCTCATTGAATTTTAATGATCTGTGCTTCAGGTTTTATATTCAATTGTGTCTTTGTATTTCAGACCTCAAGAGCGTCGGCGCAGAGACCTTTCTGGTACAGCAAACAACACACTGTTTTATGAGGGCGGCAGAGGGAATACCACTCTCGGCGCTGGGGATAACAGTACAGATGGCATTCCTCCTAACGTAGAGTTCCCCTTCAGTGAAGACAAGAGCACAACAGAGTATTTAGAGATCCCTAATCTGCGGCCCTTCACCGTCTACCGCATTGATATCCATGCGTGCAACGAGGTGGTGGGGAAGTGCAGCGCTGGAGCTTTCGTCTTCTCCAGGACCAAACCTGCAGGTTAGAAACATAATAAAAAGCCTGCATTCAACTACCTGTTTTCAGTAATGCTGACAAATATAAAGAGAGTGCATTTCTTTTGTTTACCTGAAAAAGTCACAAATATTAAGAAAAATGGATATCGGGCAAAAAACACTGGAAAAGGTGCATAATGGTGAAAAACACTTGGTCAAACATCTCACACTTAGTTGGGTTAATTGGAAGGAGGTCGGTACCATGACTGGGTATAAAACAAAGCTGAGCCTTTCGGAAATAAAGGTGGAGAGGGTTAAAATATAAATGTAATATAAAAATATAAAATCTCTCAGTTTTCAAATAGATTAAGGATTTAAAATGACTCCAAGTGATTGTGTTGTTTTTGTTTTCATTTACACAGCATCGTTGCTGTTTTTGGTAACATAGCGGTGTAGAAAATGGAAAATGAAATGTGCTGGCACCTTTTCTGAAATTAAATATCCTTGTTTATATTATTGTGGTTGTGCCTGTTCCCCCAGTCAAAGCGGATGACATCCCCGGCAAGGTGATTTTTGAGAGGTGTGACAAAATCGAGGGGTGTGTGGTGCTGCACTGGCCAGAGCCCGTTATGCCCAATGGACTCATCTTGATGTATGAGATCAAGTTCCGCTTGGGTAATGAGGTGAGCTGGACTGGGGTAATTATAGCTTATTATCATAGGTCATTTCCTTTTTCAACATTGAAAAGCCTGGACTCCATGACTATCCAAATACTGTAAACAACTGAAAAGGCTCTCAGTGTTTGCTCAGTGGAGGATTCACATGTTTAAAACGTGCACCAGACTCCAATCATGCTTATGCACGCAGGGCTTAAACACTGAGTAAAACCAAAAACAAATGACAAACTCTACACAATAGAAAGCTATTTGGAGGCCATCAAACCTTATTCACCTGAAATAAGAAACAAGAAATCATATTTTTGATTAGATGAGAACATTAACCCGATGGTATGTTTTCTTCCAAGCAGTAACCAGCGTGTGCTTGTTCTCTTCCAGCCTGAGAAGCACAAGTGTGTGTCGCGACAGGATTACCGCCGGTACAAAGGAGCTCGACTAACCAACCTTGGCTCGGGGAACTACTCCGCCCGAGTGCGTGCCACTTCCCCGGCAGGAAACGGCTCCTGGACAGAAAGTGTTTTCTTCTATGTGCCTCAACCTAAACGTAATGAACTTCTCCCTAATTACATGGAATGCAGAGGAATGAAAAATAAATAGGACTTGACACCATCGGGTTTTTGTCTTCTCTGACAGGTGATGACGGTGTTACGTTGTATGTGGTCATCATAATTCCCATCATTGTGACAATTTTTATCGCCAGCCTCACCACCATCCTCTTCTATGTGAACAAAAAGAGGCAAGTATCTTTTTGCAGACGCGCTTTTAAAACTGCCTGACAAAAGTTCTTTGATTAAGCTGTTCTGCCTGGCTATGCTCACGAAGCTTAATGATCAGTGTAATGTTAATCAGCGCTAATAGGTGTTGTTTTCATTAACGTTCCCCTGTGGTAAAGAGTAGACTTCCTCTTGAACATTGTACACAGCATCTGCAATCAGACTTGCCTGCAGGCTAACTGAGTTTGTGTTAACAGGAACAGTGACAGACTGGGGAACGGTGTCCTGTATGCATCAGTCAATCCAGAGTACCTCAGTGCTACTGAGAGTAAGACTGTTGGATATTTGGTCTATTTTTCATTGGGTTTTTTGGGTGGGGTGTTTAAACTCTGATGGTGACCCGCTGTCTCTTGTGTACCAGTGTATGTCCCAGATGAGTGGGAGGTAGCAAGGGAGAAGATCACTATGCACAGGGAACTGGGCCAGGGATCCTTCGGCATGGTGTACGAAGGCATCGCAAAGGGAGTAGTGAAGGACGAACCTGACACGAGAGTGGCCATCAAGACGGTCAATGAGACGGCCAGCATGAGGGAGCGAATTGAGTTTTTGAACGAGGCCTCTGTCATGAAGGAGTTCAACTGTCACCATGTGGTAAGTTGGACGCGTCATCAAATCCTTACCATCTGGCTCATGCGGTTATTAATAATAAACCAGTGTATTGTCATAATGAATCCAGTCACGAGATGAAATTGATCCTCGCAGACGTAGACTCAAGTACGCTGTGGTTGTCTTTATTCCGACAGCTGCAGCATGACTTGCAGTTCAGACTCCAGGATGTACTGTATATTCTCACTTCAGTGTGATCACAGCATCAGTAACTGCATAAAGTGGATGTGTTGTTAAAGCCTTTTTATTAGTCACTGTTCTTTTTTTTTTTTTAAGGATAAAGATCTTTAACAATGCTCCAAGCAACAACAAAAAAAAAACACATTTAAATTGCAAATGCAGGATGGAGCTGAACTGTAACCTAGTGTGCTTCTGAGTCAGACAACCTACCTTACTGCCTAGTAATTTATTGCTACTGAATGCACTACGTGGTGGTCTTTAAAGTTATCTAGATTTAGTGGAAGCCAAACATTTTATTCTAACAAGAAATCACACAAAACCCAACAGTGAGAAAGTCTAGTGAGACTTTTCCTTTGTGGTTTGCTTTGTGGGAGAATGGTGTTGATCAGTGGGAAATACAAAGTGATTTGAGTCAGGACCACTGTAATAGGTGAATACTCACATGTGCAGTAATTTGGATTTGGTGGCATGGCTCTGTTCTGGGGTATTCTTGGCACGGGTTGGGGTGAACAGCAATATGATCCACCAAAGGCAGGCAGGCAGGCAGGTTAAAGGTGCTTTAATAGTGTGCCATAAGAGATTTGTAGAAGTGTAGAACGGTATCATCAATTTGCTGGATCACAGCTGAACTTGACTTGCCTATTTGAATGAACTCAGTGCTGTTTTTTTTATTTAAAAAAAAAAAAAACTTTTTTCAGAGCTTAAAGTTTTGAGCATATTTCATATTTTCCTATGTGAACAAAACCTACTTTGAAGTTGTAGCATGTATTTTGGACACAGTTTTGTTTTATCAGAGCTGACCCCTCTGCACTGCTGTGATTAATGTAGGTGCGGCTGCTTGGCGTGGTCTCTCAGGGACAGCCAACCTTAGTGATTATGGAGCTGATGACTCGCGGAGATCTCAAGAGCCACCTGCGCTCCCTGCGCAAAGAAGTAAGCAACCTGCCACATGTGCACACACACACACACCTCTGCTCTCTTTCTTAATTTTTACAATTTCTTCTGTCACCCTTATACATCATCCACTCTACGCTTTGTTTCGCTCAGCTGATTAAATCAGAAAGGCGTGATATGTCGACTGACTGAATAGTGCTTTTCATGGAGTTTCTCTTCTCACCGCCTTTTGCTCTACCGCAGAACGCCACCAGCCAGGTCTTACCCCCACTCAAAAAGATGATCCAGATGGCTGGAGAAATCGCAGACGGTATGGCGTACCTAAACGCCAACAAATTTGTCCACAGAGATCTGGCAGCGAGGAACTGCATGGTAGCAGAGGACTTCACTGTGAAGATTGGAGGTAAGTCAAGTTAATATATTGCCTTTAGCCTCCCCCGCTCTGCCGGCCTTGACAAAAAAACTGTTTGGATTTCAGTGTTGGACCCAAGCATGTTAATGTAGATGGACAGAGGGGAGGGAGGAGGTGAGAGGAATAGATGAGCTCTCTGGAGCTCCCTCTCCCACACATAATGAGTGATACTTAGTGGCTTCCTCAACTTCTGCTTTCATTTTTTTTTTTCTCCAGATTTTGGCATGACCAGAGATATTTATGAGACGGACTACTACCGAAAAGGAGGAAAGGGCCTGCTGCCTGTCCGCTGGATGTCTCCAGAGTCACTGAAAGATGGCGTGTTTACTACAATGTCTGATGTCTGGTATGGCAGCAAATCACTCTTACATATACACAAGCCTGCAATAGACATGTATGAACCTCCTTAAATCCAGAAAGATGCTAAGTTTTCCATAACCACCTCAATATTTTTTTTTGCCTTTGTCCTTGTGTATACTCTAAAACAGTTCATGCTGTGGCAAAAAACTAGATAATATATTCTTATGATAATTTTCTACTTTAGTTTTTTTTTTTTTTTTTTTAAATCATGACTACTGTTTCCAAAAGCATCCAAACCTTTGGTTTTCTGGCTGCCTCTTTGGAAATTCCTGGCAAAAAAAGTACAGACCAGGAGTATTCCTCTTCTTCTTTTTTTCATTTACTGACAACTCTATTATTCCACTGTTTTGTAGATTCCCAGCCTACAGCACTGCCACTTTTTTTCCTGTGTTTTACTACTGTTTACTAGAACCCCCTGCGTGTTTGTTTCCCCAAATGTCACGGGTTAGTCCCTAAGAGTGGGCTTAAACTGCTCCAGATGTCTTTAAATGAGAGGTTGCTGTGCCAGCACAAACACACCTCCACAATTTGTGTACTATATCCTCCCCTTTGATGTTGTAAAGAAGTTTAGTGTAAGATAACCCTGATGTCATCATGAGTAGGTGACTGTTTGAGATCCTGGTGTGCAGTATTGTAATAGGCCTTTTTTATTTATTTTGTTTTTAAGTTAAGCATACCATTTGAAAATTTGGCTAGCCAAAGTAGTACAGTAAACAAATATTGTGGTCATCGCGAGGCAGTCTTGAAGTTAAACTGAAGAAATACTTCATGCTGAGGTTTTTCCGGCAGTATTGTAATCATGTAAGCTGTGTTACAACATACCGTGCCACACGTCATGAAGTTAAAATAAGAAGCAGGGTAAATGCTCAGTACCAGCTCTCCGGCATCCTGCGCTCATTTTGGATTCTAGTGCAGATTATTTGGGGAACTTAAAGTTGCAATATTTAAAATAGCATTCATCTTTTTGGGGAACTTGTGGACAGATATGAGCTAAGGATACATGAAACACTCCAAAAAGAAAAGAAAAGAAATGAAGCCTGAAATAAAGTCAGCAGTGTCAGCTCAGCTTGTGCGCTGTTAGTACTGCGATCGATGGATGGCAGTGAGAGTATTTCAGTCCAACACGGACAGAACAAAAAGTCAGAAACTATCGGTTAGCCTTAGATTAAATTTGGTTCAGACATTCACTGCACCCAGGAGATGAATCCCACTTACTGCTTTACAGCCACTTTCTCTGCCTTTTCATCTTGCTTCATCACGAGATCAGAATTTTCAATCTTCTAATACCTTTTTTAATGACTACATTCCAGTAAATCTCACCAACTTAACACACTAAGGCACAGAGCACGCCAAATCAGATACCTTCCTAGCATCAGCCTGTCACTGTGAGCATGTTATCATGCTGACATCAGTTTTTTTTCCCCCTCTTCTGTATATTAAAAGGCATTTATTACCTTTTCTGTATCAGTCAGTCAGGCTGTTTGACATTTAGTCCCTCTAAAACCATTACTAGAATATTCCTCTCTGTTTAGGTTGGACATTTATGCACATCTCAAGCACCACGGCTCTCAAACAAGCACCATATGCGGCTCTTATTAAAAAAGGAATATATGAAAAATAGGATTTGTACTTATTGTTTGCATGCAAACAGTGCAGCTCAATTTTGAGTGGAGGGAGTTTTTGCTTTTATTAGATGGTTACCAAGTATTACTGGTGAGGCATTTTCAGGTCACCCTGATAACAATTTAGTCACTAACATAATGGATGTAATTTCTTTCAAATTTAGAGCGATGATGTAGGATAGGCTCTTCAAAGTAAAGTTTATTCCTAAGCAATAAAAGAATATGTGTGCTTGATTGATGGTTAAAATAAACGTTTACTGTGAAAGCCGAAAGAGCATCACATAAAATACCACAATATATTACTTGAATATGTTGCCTAATTTCTCGCTGCAGGTCATTTGGTGTCGTGCTGTGGGAAATCGCCACCTTAGCTGAACAGCCTTACCAGGGGATGTCCAATGAACAAGTGCTGCGCTTTGTCATGGAGGGAGGACTCTTGGACAAACCTGACAACTGCCCTGACATGCTGTAAGTCTTTCTTTTGTCAAATCTGTGACCCTGCCCTTAAGAACAATAAAACTAAGTAACATCAGCTTGGATTTATGAAGGATATTTTATCCTCTACAGCCGCAGCCACCCATGTCTTCTGTCCTATTAATATTTTGCCCTGTTTTATTTTAAGTTGTGGCTCTGAGTGTGAAGGATATCGTGTGTATAAGTTAAGGTAGAGCCAAGACGAGGGCCGACATTAACGTCACCGGATAAATGTGGTCCGTTGACGACATAGCTTCAGTGGTCAGCTGGCAGTGAGAACCCTGCTCAGCCTTCAGCGCCGGCCCATAGAAGGGATGCCACTATCAGTGTGTGAAAGATGCCCCTCATTCCTACTACGGAGGGAGGTAGTGCCTGTCTGTCAGCGTGGGGGATGAGAAAGTTATCATTATTTAATTTTAAATTAATCAGTCAATCAATCAAACACTGGCTGTTAGAGGGGAAAGAAAAGCCAGAGCACAGCCTGCTCGTCGGCATGCAGCGCTGCATACATGCATTTCGATTCTCCGCCTCTGACCTCAATAAGAAGGCATTCTGCTCTCTCCCCTCCCACTCTCCACGGCTGACCTCACCTTAGAAAGAGTGTGAGTAGCAAAAAGAAAAAAGAAAAAAGAAAAAGAGGATCAAGTGTTGTGCAGACACAAACCTCGCGTTTCTATGGCAGCGTGGCTGTTTTGTCCTGATTACAGGAGTGTGTGGATTGTGTTACAGAGGTGGTGGAGTCGGGGCTTAGCAGCACACATGGAAGTCAGGCCACTGTCGATGGTCGCCTCTGCTGTAGTGACTTAATGGAGATTTCCAGAAGATTGCCCAAGTGCAGCGAAGCCAGAGAGTTCATACAAAGACTGAATAGAAAGATACAGAAGAAGTGGAAGTGGGCAGGTTAACACAAACAGGGATGAGTCATATTTGGAGAGCCTTGAATGTCTCCTACTTGTACTGTTTCCTTTGTTTCTCAGGTAGCTTTGGTCACTGATTGTTATTCTCATGTTTCTGTCTAGAGTTCCCCAGAGATAAAAGTGCTTTTCCTCCTTCAGAATTGGAAAATAAATGTGACTAAATTAAACATCATTATTTTTCTGTGGAATATCACTTACACGCTATTATCCGTCAAGGTTTTGCCACGCCGGGGAGGTTGCACGTGTGAAGTTTTTCAGATCTGGCAGGGATTCCTGTTCAGGTTTATTAAGCATTTAGCATAGATGTTTGGAGACTTTTTTGCACTTACACTTGGCCTGAAATTGCGTCTGTTTCTGATTTTTATCAAGCTTTGTTGGCCCATCTCCTCTGTGAATATTTGGCTTTATCCAGGCCAGTGAAGATTTTCTTATAATTCTGACACCGACTATCTCATATTCGCTTGTAACCGTCCTTATACAGTATATCGGACAGTGAAGTCAGAATCTGTTTATTGGCCAAGTACGTTAACACACATGAGCTCTCACTATACTTTAATACCGTGCAGATGGCAAATTCGCAGGATAATACAGATACAGACATACAGCCAAGCAAAGATATCGAATCAGCCTGAGCAAATAAAGAAAAAC